TTTACAACGGGGTAGTTCAACTTCTAATACCGTCAAATCAAGCAATCTGATCATCCGTATACATACGTACTTCTAGCCTCTTTGGGTAACCATTTCATTACAAGTGTATAACATTAATTATTGAATGGTTAAATATCACAATTTGGTACATCTACTACTACTACATGCGTTGTTTAAGCATACACGATGAACGAACTTGAGCCTTAAACAAGGCACATGGGAAACTAAAAGCTCCAAGAAAACTAATTAAGAGCAGGGGGTCCTAGAATTAAGTATACATTACAACGCCGACACATTCAATTAGCTCAAGGCTTGAATTGAAGCTCATTGATCATGTTATCCCATGTTTCATAGACCCCACGCTTCTTCGATCATCTATCATCCATATATCATCCGATAAGACTTGTCCGTTGTCCCCCCTCAAAATCTCTTCATGATAGGATAAGAAATGTAGGGTACTTACATAAATGTACGTGTGTATGTCCTAATTAGTAACAATTACGTACGTATATACAGTGTCAAGCACCCTTCGAGGGTAAGCCTTTATAATCGATCTAAAGGACAAGGAGGTTTAGTTAAGTTGATCAAGATAAGAATCGAAAGAATTCATTATTGTTAGATAATAATATTGTGTAAGGAACTTCAATCAGTACTCCTATTTTCGTCCAACTCAGCTCCAATCTATACCAATGCAAACGAGTTGTTTATTCAACGATAAATTTGCACGAAATAATTAGATCTTATAAGATACTTCAAAATCCAAAAAGCATGAACACATGATCCTCAAAACTTGTAAACATGAACAGGTGAAATGTATAATCCAAGCCTACATGTTATACAATACGAATAGGACAAATACCAATCAATGAAACTTTGTATTATACACTTATACCTTGATGAACTACACTGGTAATATATAGAATTATTACTCGTATACAACAAAAAATTAACAAAGGGAATAAATAAAATCTGTCACTGTGCATATAGCATCAAAATTACAATAGATTTTTCAATCAAATCAAATGAAAAGATCAAATTGAGATTTTCTAGGGCCAGAAGACCTTGGAAATGTAGCTTAATTGTACTAAAATCCAAAATAATTATCCTTCTGATTTCTTGAACAAATTAAAATACAGTTATAATATGATGATTTCGAGATCAAACCCATTATTTATGCAAATATGAGAATGTCTTAAGCTAAGCTAATCATACATACATGCAATTAGGTTAGTTGACCAAGTTGATGAAATAATTGATATATATGATGAAGCACGCATGTATGCATGCATGCAGCCGGCCATTGATTTGGTGCAGTACATAGAATCAGTAACCACGCCTACCAAATCCTGTAATGCACGAGTGAGCCAGCGAAAATCATGCAACTTCTACTTCACATAGATATCATCTTTCTGACTTACACCTAACACGTACTCCTTTTTGGCTTCTTATAGATCAACTTATTTTATACAGAGTATAATTTTTACCCCCGGTTTTGCAATGTTAAGGAAAAAATGTCGCGTTGTATCTATGGAGATAGATCCAATGTAGTGTTGTGTATTGATTAAGACTACCTATGGCTAATTTCTTAAGAAAAAGTTGTCAAGAATCCAAAGTTTATCAACCCCGCCTAGGGGTGGATCCATAATATATGGCCCTTTGACGATGCAATTGGAACGCCCGTTGTTAAAAAAAAATAGATTAAGTTGTTCTTGGGAATATTTTTGAGAGGTAACCTTCATTCTGAACCCCATTTGTAAAGGAGAGATCAAGTCACTTGAAGGGTGAATAAAATAGAACTCTTTATCTATATGAATTAATGTTACATTTAAGTTTAGAACTTCTTTGATCAGCCCCTGGCTCTACAAGATAGCAACATGCAGACTATTACCATCTTCTCTTTCTTGAACCTTCCTTCCTATTATCAGTGAATCACTGTTTTTGAAGTGAAAACCGCTACCATGGATTCCATGCCTAGATGCATTTTGAAAAGAGGCAGTAGTGTCCTAATCAGTGGTGGTCATTCAATTGGTGGCTAGATTTTTTTTTTTTTTTTTTTTTTTTTTTTTTTTTTTTTTTTTTGGTGAGTGTGACATGGTTGCCACAGAGATTGTGTGTGTAAAAAAAAGAAAAAGAAAAAAAAACAGCCTAAGCCCAACATGTGAACAAGAAGGGGAGTTGAGAAAAGATATAACAGAACAAGTCAGCCCAGGCCCAAAAAAATCATCCAAGTCAGCCCAGGCCCAACAAGGTGATGATTAAACTCAAGTTTTCTAAAAAAAATCTATCTATAAATAAATAAATATAACTAAAGTAATAACCGCTAACATCATCACTATCCAAGTGTTAACTTCTCATAAAAAAAATTCCCTCCAAAACTGTTGGTAACATCATTTTTTTTTAAGATAAATAAAGATTTGAAATTAGTAGATTAATTGCATATTTCCTAAAATATTTTATAATTAAAATTACTAACTACATAATTTTCCATGGATTAAAAATAAAATAAAAAATTGGTGGCTGGACTATTTTATTTTTCTAGAAACTTTTTATCTCCTACCACTCTATACATTATAGTGATGGTATGTTTTGGAGGGTTTTCATTCTTTACTAGTTCTTCAAAGAAAATTAAAGGAAAATTGGTTTAAAATAATCTCAATAATTAACGGTGTGTGAAAAATAATATAACCTCAACTATTTGCTTTCAGCAGTACCACCTTTTGTAGTATATGTGTAAAATGGTATACCATCCATCAAAGAAGGTATCTCTAGGAGTATTTCGTCCATATTCATTATTATACTATTTTTAATATTAATTATTAAATTTTTTTTTTCAAAATACATAATTCCTCTATTTTTATTTACAATAAAACACACTACTTTGACATAACACACTTTAAGAGAGATATTAGACTAGATAAACGGACAAATTAATCAACAAATTTTTATCACCAATAAGAAGAAAGTGTTATGTAAAAATGAAAGTGTTAAGTTGCTACAATTTAAATTTAATTTATAGCATACTTTGTCCGCTTACATATAGTCTAATCACTTTTTCAAATAGCTTAACATGTCAAAAAAAAGGTTTGTTGTAAGTATAAAAAAAAAGGAAATATTATGTTAATTTTGGTTTTTAAAACATTTTTTGAAACTAATTATATCAATATAATAAAGCATTTAAATACCCTGTTTACTTTTGTTTGATTGTAGAAATTTTTTTCTTTACATAAATTCATTTATTAGCCTAACAAAAGGGCGGGATATTATTAATTTGGGTAGGAGGAAATTATTAACGTAAAATGCATTTTGAAAAAAAAAATATTTAATATAAAATAATTATAATTAAAAAATATATATAATAATGAGTATGGACGGAATATTCCTTAGGATGCCTTCTGATTAGGGGGTTTTCCCCGCCCAATCATTGTACGCCACATGGACCAATTAGGTCTTACCAAGTGTCCTCCATTTGGACCTCTTAGGGCCTGCCACGTGGCACCCGGCCATTTGTCCACCATGGACCAGTCAAGCCACGCCATGTGGCCTATTGATTGCCAGCTTGGAAGGAGGCCACCTAAGCCCACTTCCCGGGAGAAGCCCAGTCAGATCTAGGGTTTACCAAAAACCCTAGAATTAGGCACGCTTCCCAAGGCTATAAATACATTAATTAATCCTCATTAAAGGGGATTCAACAAGTAATTACTATCACCTAGAAAAGCCAAAACTCATTGATCACTCCTCACCTTGAGGGACCAGATCTCCCACCTTTACTTTTCCGCATTCACCTACTCCTAAAACAAGTACTAACTTGACCGTCGGAGGCGGAGCTCCCACCACAAGGAGTCTCCGTTATTTTGCAGGTACAGGCGCAAGGATACCAGTCCCAGAATTGTAACTCTCCTGCAGGACATCAAAATACCCCAAAACACCTTCTTTGATGGTTGGCGTACCATTTTGCACATATTGTATAAAAGGTTGTATTGCTGATAGCAAATAGTTGACGTCGTATTATTTTGCACACATCATTAATTCTTGGGATTATTTTAAGCCAATTTTCCAAAATTAAATGAAAGATAAACCAGTAAATTAATGCTAACATCTTAGAAATATGTTTTAAATTTTATTTAATTTATGAAGTATATAGTATAATATATGATTATAATACTCCGTACTTAACATCATATCTTTCGTTATAGCACAATATATCTAATAAGAAGGCACAAAATTTATTATGTTTTTTTTTAGATACGTATTACATACAAATAAGAAAAAAAAATTGTTTAAATCATGCATCGCATGGGACTAACCTAGTACTACCACTAAATCAAAACCCAAACCTATCAGCTTATACTTGCATTTTTTTTTTAATTCAACTGAGGAAAAGATCCAATACGAAAGAAATGAAAACACAGGAAAGCAAACAATTTAGGGGAAGGGAAACTGAGGGACTAGACGTGGCAATTAAGACCACATCTCGAGTATCCTCATATAATATTCTACTAAGATCTAGATTACTAAACTAAAGATGTTAAGACGAATCCCTTGAGGGACTCCGAGGTTGGCCAACCAATAGCCGCATGGTTTCCTTTCCTGTATATGTGAGCAACTCTAATCGTCCAATTAGGAATTTAGGATCATTAAGCATTGGTCTGCAGTTATTAATATCATGGGCACTTTCTCCTCTCCCTAACTCAGCTTGTTGCAAAATTTGCACACAAGATAGGAGGTCCATTGGACCTCGACCTCCAAATGAGAAATCTGTAGATTTTGCGCTAGGTCAAGGCCACGAGTAAGGGCCTAAACGAGTTGCTACTTCAGAGTATAATTAAATCTATGTTACTTTGCTTACTCCTTTTATATCTTGACACATAAACTAAGTTATCTATATCTGCTTATAGAATTTAGATGAATAATCTCTTCAAAGCTACAAAATTATCCAATTTTTGCCATTTGTTCTTGAAAATATATTACGGGGTATATTCTTTCTATAAATTCCCATCCCACTAACTAAAATCTACACCATACATCAACACCCCAAAAACATGGCTCCAAACTTTTACTCCATCTTCCTAATAACAATACTGTTGCAAGCTTTTTCCAATATTAATGTCACAGCCCAAGCATTATTTCCTGCGATCCTCGTTTTTGGTGATTCAGCCGTAGACACCGGCAACAACAATTTCATCAATACCATTATATCACCAAATAGAGCTGATCATCCTCCTTACGGTAGAGATTTTCCTAGCCATAAACCAAACGGTCGTTTCTCGAATGGGAAACTTGTCCCAGATTTCTTGGCTGATACACTAGGGTTGAAAGAGAGCGTACCCCCATTTCTGGATCCCCATCTTTCAGACAAGGACCTGATTACTGGTGTGTGTTTTGGGTCTGCAGGGTCTGGGTTTGATGATTTGACGAGTAAGACAACCAAAGCAATCCCAATGTCAAAGCAGGTTGAGTACTTCAAAAAGTATATAGAGAGAGTTACAAGGATTGTAGGGGAAAAGAGGGCTAAGGAGATCATAAGAAAGGCTATAGTTGTTATAAATTCCGGGATAAATGACTTTGTGATCAATTACTATGACCTGCCTACTAAAAGACTGCAGTACGATATAAATGAGTACCAAGATTTTGTTCTCCAAAGACTGCAGAGCTTTGTTGAGGTTTTAACTCTTTTCTTTACTCCCTCCTTTCCCATAAAAATACAATGACAGATTCAAAAAGGCATAAAACGGACAGAGGGTAATGGTAATAGGTTTGAGTGCGATTTTGCAATGAAAACGTATCTCATGTCAAAGTACATGATAATACAATTTCATCTCCAATTATATATTTTACTCTAAAAAGTTCCATTCTCACTCAAAACCAGATATAATCATCTAAAATGGTTGAGTGGTAATAGAAATTTGAAGAGAAAAGCACATATTTGAGAATATACTCGTAGTTGCAGAAACATTGACACCCTAAGATTTTTCTTACAAAATTACACAAACCAATTAACATATTACCGCGAAGGATAGAATCACTACACTATCGGGATCGACTAGAACTATAACCAAAAAGTCTCTATATTAATACCCAAATATTCAATCTTTTTTATCTCTTCTACTATCACACCATCCATTCTCTTTTCCGTGTGTGCTAAAACAATCATAGATGCTGTGTCACAGGTTGCAGGTTGTAGCTGACCAATATATGACACATCAACTATAAAAGTTTAAGTATGACAAGGAATAAAGCTCAAATTGATTCAACAATTTATACGAATTTCTATAGCTTAGAGATAATTTTCTTTGGCCCAAACTTAACAACTAATAATGACCCATTCAAATTAATATTTCAATATCTTATAATTGTACATGACAATAACACACTAGTTTCTCAAAAATCTGAAACTGCAGGAGGTGCATGAACTCGGATGCCGTACAATAATAGTAACTGGGCTACCTCCCATAGGTTGTCTTCCGATTCAAATGACAGCAAGATTTAAACTCCCAAATGAAAGGAAATGTTTAGAGGACCAGAATTCAGATGCCATGTTATATAACCAGAAACTAAAGAAACTCATACCTCATGCACAAGCTTCACTTCCAGGAACTCGGATACTATATGCAGACGTATACACACCATTTAGCGACCTGGTAAAAAATCCAGAAGAGAATGGTAAGAAAATATAAGACAACATGAAGACCAAATATTACATAAACAATATTAGTAATAAAATTATAAGCTGATGTTATATTGTTTTAACACTGTAACAGGATTCAAAGTGACAGATAGAGGATGTTGCGGGACAGGATATATTGAGACAGGGAGCCTTTGCAACATATTAACACCTACATGTAAGAATGCTACAGAGTTTGTGTTTTGGGACAGTGCTCATCCCACAGAAGCAGCCTACCAGTATGTTCATGATTCTTTGCTCGAAGAGCTTGGTCCTCAGATAATTAATGATCCCAAGTTTTCTGTTTCCTAACATTCTGTAATATTCAAAATCTTCATACGTTATGTAATGTTGTATGAAGACATGTCCTCTCAGATTCTTTAAAAAGGAATGCAGATAGATTTATGAATACATATAATTTCATCTTTTGGAAATACATCGAAAATACCATTTCAATATCTCTCTTGAATTAATACAACTGTTCTCATTAGCCAAAGCAAAACACTGAATAGCATTAGACAACTGCCTAAAAACTCCAATTTTGGTATTAGACATTCTAGTAAAGAACAAACATAATACATCTGGTCTGAGCTGCTGCCAAAAATATAAGAGATTTAATGCTTACTGTGTGGAAGGCTGGAAGCTAATCATAAAACCAGGTACAGTTTTGAAAAGTCAGAAAGGCAATTCAAATATCTAACATATAATGATTTTGAAAGGGCAATATCCTTACCGTTGGAAGATTCAGTCAACTAGCAATATCCCACAGCAGAAAGAAAAGAAAAAAGAGGAGGGGTGCAGATGCAAAGGCAGGGGAAAACGAGCCATTGGGTGTGCATCCCAACTTGAACTCAACTCTGGGAATATCCAAAATGGTATACTTCAAAGTGGCTCTGAGACTGAGGAAATAATTCAAGCTATCTATCACCAGAAGCTACTTAGATATCAGAAAGACAAAGGTCAAGAAATCTCTAACATAATAATGCACCACAGTATCAGAACTCAAGCAATAGATCTGGCTGCAGAGTACAGACATATACAGGATTGAATTTTCTCAGAACTCGCTAACCAGCAGGCCACGTGTAAGAAACTATACCAGATATCTTCGCTCTTTTGCTAATCATGACTAGGGTACAATAATAATACTCCACCCAAATCTTAATATCTTCAGCATATAAAGGTAACGCAAAGAAAGGTACCAAATTTCAAGGGATTGTGACAGAGAGATGAGTCTAAAATTCATATAGAGGCTCAGGCACAAATGCACAATCATCCTTTTCTCATATACTTGACGTCTAGACTTCTTTAGTGGTCTCAATATCTCAAAATGAGATCCAATCCTTTCTAACACAATTGAGTGCAAGCTGTTCTGTTGGAGACATTTGAGTGGTTTAGACGTAGGTAGCCTTAAACCTAACTAGTCGAGAAAGGAACATTCCTAAGAGTAAATAATACTAGAAGCACTATGAAGCAAGTGAAATGCAATATGATGCGAGGGAGACGGAGGGGGTTCACCAATCGCTTAAACTAGGCCTAGAGTGTCATAAGATTATTATATAGCCTAAGGCTCTAATAGATGTTTGCTTCCAGTTGGCTAATCTGCCTTCACAAACAACAGCGGGGCCTCAAAATTTAAGGGATCAAACATGTACAGGGATCAGATGACTGGCCTTTAAGACAAATTCATAAATCATTTCTCAAAATACACCTGTTTCTGTAGACCAGAATTCAATATCTACAACCTAGTTACTTGACATGATCACCTCACCCACAAGATTGATTTTGGCCCTGTTTGGTAATTAGCTGGTTTGACTAACTGATTGTATTAATTGGTTTGACTAGCTGGTTGTAAATAGATGGTTGTGTAAAAGTATTTGGTAAATAGCTGTTAGTTGTTAGCTGTTTAGCATATGAAACAACTAATAAGCTAAATGTTCAATAAGCTAGTTCCAAAAAGCTCATGTTTTGAGAATTTACAAAAAGAGCTTTTTGAGTCCAAACAGATCTTTAATAAGCTTTTTACCAAACACTAAAATTAGCTTTTTGATAATGGTCAAACCACTAATAGGTTCAATAAGCTAAAAGCTCTCCAAAAAGCACTTCACCAAGCATATCTTATGATACTTAACTAACTACTCTATACTAGCCTTCTCGGGTCATATCATACCTCAGCAAAGGCATTATTGATCATACTAGTCTTTCAAGCAAGTCAGTCAAGTCATTGGTGCTAAAAGAGCAATTAGCAATTGAATTTAAATCCCGAATTGAATGAGTTGTTAGCACAATCTAATTTTTGTCCAATATGATGATCTCTGATATGATAGGTGCAGCACATCATGGGGATCAACTGCTAAAAAGGGAGATTTTGCATCAAGAGACATGGTCTGCAAGATTAAAATCCACTTACAAGCAACTGGACATACAATAATCTAGTTAACTTCAGCAAATGATAAACAAAATCAAGTGACATTAACAGCTGGCTATGCAGATACTTTCTACTATACAGGCAATATAGTGGAAACTAACCCGAGAATAGAAGGTTGGGCACATGACCCTTTGAAGTTACACAGTTCTGCATTCCCATATCTCCGATGTGTATACTGTACCTCGAAATAGTACTTTGTTAGTGGTAAGATCCTACAAAATCAGCACACATGACTCAAGTTACACATAATGTAAAGGATTTATAGCTCCAGATTTCAGACAAATTAGTAGAAGAGAGATGATTCAACTGAGATATCCATCTGCATGCAACAAATAAGCATCTCTCTACCTGTTCTGTAACCCTCGACTTTCTGCATACGGATTCACAGCTTGTACGGTGAAGTAATGCTCTGACAGCACTTACAGTAGTTCCAAGACAGTATATCATTATTGTTAGATAATTTAATATTACAATAACATGAAAATACAATAGAAAGCAAGCTTTAAAGACTTCCAAGTTCAATAGGTAATAACAGGCAAGTAGGAAATTAATTTTTGAAGAGCAGTTTCTTGCTAACATTACATAATCAAACAGATCCAATTATACACAATCGTACAAAAATGATCAAGTCCTTTGTGAAAATCAGAAACTGATAGAATAAAATGTGGCTTTCACACAAGGTAAAGTAGTACATAAGGGCCAAATCACACATCTATACACCCCAGTGGAAAATCTACCAGCACGCCAAAATTTTACACTCCACAGTGGGGAAACAACTAATTGATCACCAAAATTTTGGAAGAGACCTACCATTTCAATTCACATTTTCATAAATTGATACATTGTTCTAAACCAATACAAACTTGCTTACACTGTTCTACAAAGATACAAACAACATTTTCTGCTCATCAAGTCACCACCATCTTTCATCTCCTTCCACCATTACTATTACCCCGAAACAGCTCATTGTTAATCTGAGCCTCAACATCCTCGACACTATACTTGATATGTTTCTCAGGGTTCCTTCCCGCTTCTGCAGAGTTCTGGAACTTTCCAATAAATATCCGATAAGCAGGCAACAGATTTTGAATAACAGACATCTTCAAATCCTCCCTCAATTGATCATCAAACACAACCCACGAAGATTGAATCTTTAATATCTCCTCAAAGTAAGCATTGAACATCTTAAATCTTTCCTTCAACGGCCTCGAATTCTGGCCCCCATTAGCATTACTCCCACCTCCATTATCCACCTTCAAAACCCCAACCACCTTATTCCAAGTATTCCTCTGATAATTCATCTGAAACTGCCTAACTTTCACACTATGTTTTCGAATCCAATCCTCCCCTAACAACAACCCAAGCTCACTATCCTTCACCTTCTGCACAATGTACCTCCCATTATTCATCATAAACAAAGAACTCAAAGCAGCATCCTTATAAGTCTTTGATTTCGCCTCCAAATTACTCTCTAATAACTCCATAATCCAAGCCATTTGGACCGACAACGAGCTCATTCCCGACATCCCTCGTTCCCTCTCCTCCTCAAACACCTGCTCCAACGTCTGCTGCGACTTACACGCGGCTCGAATATAATTCATCACATATCTAGTAATCGGATGAAGTCCGCCACCAGGCACCGGGTTTTTCGCCGGATCACGCCTAATCAAATTCTCCAATTCCATAAAAATCCCTCTAATTGCTTCCCCAACCCTCTTCCAAATTGCCACAGCTTCATTCCTCAGGAAAACACAGTACTGATCAGAGAACAAAATCTCAAACTCCGGAATCAAATCCCTCAAAGTCTCATAAACATCAAGCACCTTAAACAATCTCTCCGGAGACCGGCTCGAAATCGCGACCGCATCGGCGAAATTCAACAGCTGAATAGCCGAACCACGGCAAACCTCCATAAAAGCAAAATCAGAAGTCGACGGAAACCCGAAGAAAATACGATCACAGAGACGCCTCTCAGAAGGAAACAAAATTCGGAGAGAGAAAACCGCCGATTTACACCACCGTTCAATCTCATCCTCAAGCTCCGGCCATGGAAGCTTCTGGACTTCATCAGTGCTCAATTTCTGTAACCATAACCTCGACAAACTCTCTTCTAGAAACTCCCTCCGGCACGCGCTGTACACGTGCGAACACTCTCTTCCGTACTCCACCAACACCATTCGCCTCGCAATTTCATGGAGATCGTTAATCGTCGACGCCGGCAAAGCGTCGATAACGATGTTAAAATCCGTCATCGGATGCGCCACCGGAATATCACCTCCGCCGTCATCTCCTCCGTAACCTCCACCGTAACCACCGCCGTCATCCGAGTCGGAATCCGACGATTCACGAGTCAAATCGAAGGAATCAGCACCTCGTTGAATCAAACCACGAAACTCTTCCTCAAGCTTGAAAATCGCCGACTGTAGCAGCTCATCTGCGCGATCCAGAGTCACAGCGAGCGCCTTGTTGTCGCGCGCAAGAGGAGCGAAGTCGCGGATTGTTGCGATCAGCTCGTCGAGAACTTCGAGGAAGGCGGAGGAATCGGTAGGGTCAAACCATAGTGGACGGTCAAAGGAGAGAGAATGAGAGATCTGAGCTTCGAGTGAATTTAAGCATTCTTCCACGGTAGCAACCGCCGACGACGGTTTTTCGACGGATTTAGGGTGGTTATCCGGCAACATATTGTCGGAAAGCGGTAATAATTTATCGCGAGAAAATCGGCCGTCGAAAGTGGAGAAAATGTTGAAAATATCGTCGGTCATAGAATTGGAATGACCGAGAGATTTTGCAATTTGGCGTGCAACTGCTATCAATTTCTCTTCTCCATTGATGTTGTTATCAGCCATAATTAAGATTAAGTATAAATAAATAAAATAAAATTTGGTCACATCAAAACAAAAAGGAAATTCGGACAAATTCAAAGTGAGATGTTAGTGGTAGTAGAATAATCAAAGTGATAGTGGAAATTAGGGTTTATAATTGAAAAGATGAACGCGGAAATTGAAGGAATTGGGGAAGAATAATAAAAATAAAAAGAGGAAAGTGTGAGGAAAATGAGAAAGGGACAGTTTTTTTTTTTGGTTTTTTGTGTTTGGAGTTTGGTTTTGTTTTTTCGAGTTTTCCCACTGTTTTGGTGTTTTTGTTGGCCGTGTAAAAAGGTAAGTTTATCGTTGTTTTCTTGTTTTTGGATAATGTGGTGTTTAAATATGATTGCTTAGTCAGCATTTTCTAGATGATTATGTGTTTAATCTGTTTATAGTACTCCATAGTAATTAATTAATTCTCCCATTCTTGTTCCCCTATGAAAATTGCGTCACAAAGTAATCGTGTTAGTTTATTCTTAGATCAAGAATGTACAATTACTAAGTTTGTTATCTATACACGGTTACAATTTACTTTTTGAGATTAAATCTTAAAATTTAGACCGAAATTCTCCACTCATACATATTATTATATGATACCTTTTCAAATTATTGTCTCATAGCCTAATCAGGAAAGAACCCAGGACCTCAACAATTAGTTTTAGTATATTAGATTTTTATTATTTTTACTATTATGTAGTTAGACATAGTACACTATATGGTCGTCGATTAAAGCATTTTAAAATGATCGTCATGCTGATCCTTATTTTAAACAGTCTCAAAATTTGATATTCATTGCGTTTTAGTCACATTATCTAGATTTTCATGCCTTAGGCCCTTTTAATTTAAACATAAACTTTTTAATTTTAACTTTAAGGCTAATTTCAAAATCTAGGTCTCCTTCAACGTGTTTAGGACAATCCTAATACAATGTGTGCATTGGAGATACGTGTAACTATTTTTGTAAAGGAAAGTAGCATTGAAGCTCAAAGCCTTAATCATAAATATCAATGGGTAGGCTCAAAAGCCCAAACATCTTATGACACAACCCAAGGATCAAAATTGGGCCTATGCACCATAGCACAACAGTTGGCCCAAACATCTTTGCTTATTGTCTCTTTATAAGTTTTGAAGCAACATATGCAAGTTGGTGCAGTGGTCAACCTTTTTAAATGCATGCTTTCATACTGATGTAGATGCAATATTTGAGTTCTATAACTGATGCCACAAGCAAAGGGAGATAAGTTACCATTTCTACAATCAACCATTTTCAAGACTTTTTCACGTTATAATTCCTCCATTAATCAGCAATCTTTTAAGATTATAATTGCTTGCAACTTTACTTCTAGATTTTTATTCTTCAAACATCATATCTACAAGTCTTAGCTCAAGTTTTTGCTTTTGAAACATCATATTCATATCCCCATGTCCTATCCTCTGTTAATCCAGATTCCAAAGAGTGTTTCTCTATCTCCCCCATTCCGCACCTTTATCTCTCGCATTGGCAATTCGACCTACCATGCATACTCCCGACAACGTCAATTGTCAGAACTCTTTGAATATGCTGCATGTTCTCGGCCTCATTCGATCTCAGATGCCACAACAAGGATCCGTAAGAACGTTTCCTATTTCGGGATCAACTATCTTACACTGCTCGGTGGCGTGCTTGCTTTCTTTCTACTGTCTCACCCGCTCTCCCTCATTACTCTCCTACTCCTCCTTTCTGCTTGGATCTTTTTTTACTTCTTTAAACCATCTGAACAGCCATTGATCATCTTTGGCCGCACACTATCTAACAGTGAAATACTAGCCATCTTGGTGAGCACCACAATTGTAGTGATGTTCTTTACGAGTGTTGCATCTTTGCTGATTTATGCTACACTAATTAGTGGGGCTATTGTGTGTCTTCACGGTGCTTTCAGAGATCCAGCAGATCTATTTCTCGACGAACAAGATGGAGGCTCTTCGTCCAGTTTCTTTTCTATTGCAAATGCTGCTTCGATCACATCAGCTCATGCCTCTATGCGTGATACTGTTTCCATAGTCTAAAATCTGATTTCAGATCTCATTATCTCAATGATTCTCAGTTATGAGGGTATTAGTACATGTATGCTTCATTAGATGTAAGAGTTGTTATGCAAAACATCATTTATAAAAAATGAGTTGAGCCATCATATAATATTAGGTCACATTTCTTTCTATAATAATATCTAAAATAATATAGTAAAAAAAATAAGGTACATTCAGAGTACTCAACTAAAAATCGTTTCCCTGCATGACATTCTAAGTCAGATATACATTGTACAGAAAATAGCAAAGCTCGTAGTCACAATATGAGTTCCGTGTTTGACTTCCCTTCATGACGGGGAAGAAAAGGCTAGGCAATAACGAATCCATGATTAATCATCTACCAACAATATACGAAGTACATCTCAACACTGAAAGTTAAACAATGGAATTGAAGTATTGAACAGAATGCCCTTGCTGAAAATCAGGCAATCCTTGTAATTTCTTATTAGTATGTCAGATGTTCAAAATGCAATCAGGCTAAAAAAAAAAAAAAATCCTGCCACGTGGAACTTTTTTTTACAGGGTTTACAGAACAAATTCCAGTGAACACATCAACTGAGTTCCTAAAAGCTATATATAGTGGACTCCCATTTCTGTGTGTGATATGAACTTGCTTTGTCCTTGATTAGACAGTAGGAAGAAAAAATATGGAATACACAAGAAGAAACTCTTTTTTGCGTTACAGCTATATACTCTTACACTTAGGAACTATCTTTCACATATCCTCTGGTATCTTCTGCAACCTTCGACCACAGATTAGCCATTTTCTCAGCAGAGCTTACCTATTCAAATCACAACAACAAACATCATCTCAGACCATAACTTCGCATGGCAGTTAAATGCCAAAAAAATAAATTGATGTAAGAACAAGAGACACGTTATGAATGAGTCATTCAAATCAGTGACTGAAATTCAAATACAAGTATATAACTTTTTTATAAATCAGATACTACATGCAACTATTTTCTTGTACTCTCTATATGTTTCTCTGAGTGTGTTTTTATTGTGTGTGTGTGTGTGTGATAGAGAGGTTAATTTCATGTTTCAACAACAGGAGCAATTCTCCTCTTCTGATGCCTATAAAAATAAAGGGTAGTAGCACAATCACCACCATGGCTCCCCTCACACCCCCGCCATACAAAAGCAACTTCAAAAGCCCTGTACAAACCTCCCCCACCCCCCAGCTACACCCAAATCCCCAATGAAAAGCAAAAGGGCAACAACATTGATTATATAGCCATTCAACATCCCAAAAATCATTTACAGCCTATACCATCAACACCACATCATTAGTTCTGTAATATACGACTCCCACCAGGCCATCAATATGATCAATAACATACTCCATAATCCACTCATATGATTACATGCATCCCCTGATCCACTATCATTTGAAGAAAAAAAATGTCCTTTCAAAGTGGAAGGGAATAGGTGAAAAAAAAAGATGATCAGGCTGGTACAAAAGCAAGCTCTGGTTGGACATAGAGACAAACAGAGCACACATCAGTATAAAGCAATCTCAAAACAAATGGGTATTTTGTGTATTAATGAGAGGAAGATTATTCATTTGTAGTCCTCAAAACAGACTGCAATCAGAGCAGCAGCCAAAAAAAAAAAAAATACATCTTTATTAAGGAAGATTGTCTACAAGAGTACCCAAAAATGACCCTGGAGAAGAGGAGGGGACATGCATGGTCATCTGTTGACTTCTTTGAAAAATGAACTAGTAGCTCTGTACTACTTGCCAGTTGCTACTTATCAATCATGCTTTGGACAATGAATCTACCAGAAGAAACCTCTTCCTCTAAATTATGGTCTTTACATCTCTAATGGTAAGCGGGGATCAAAAGATTCCAAAAAACACTTCTCTATATTTAATTGTGAGATCCAATGTTGAATCAAATTCTCAAGACTTGTCGTGAGAATTAAAACTCTAATTATGAGACTCCATGAGTCCCAGACTTTCACTCTAAATAATAATCATTAGATAATTGATACAGCAAACAAAGAAAAGATGATCTGGCCAAGATTTCGCAGCCCCTCATCCATGTGCTGCTTTGTTCAGGTGAGGATTTCTTTACAGGACCAAACTGCTTCTGAAAACAAAGAGTGAAAGGCCCTTACAATTAGAGCCTCCCAATTTAGCATCTTTCTCCTAAACGTAACCCATATGAGCTCCCCGTTGTCGAAGCTATTAGAGCCATATGAACCTCCCAATTTAGCATCTATCTCCTAAACGTAAACTAGATTTGGCCACTCTTGGCCAAAGAGGTCTTAGGGGAATCAAGGGGAAGAACTTCGATGCAGAGAGATACTTCATGGTGGAATGAAGAGGTGAAAGTAGTAATTAGGGAAAGCTATCAAGCCTTGGGAAAATGTAGGAGTGACGAAACCTTTGCAACGTATAAGGAGGCTAAGAGTAAGGCAAAGGCAGCTGTTCGACAAGCAAAAGAAAAGGTTTATCAAGAGGTTTATGAAAAACTTGACTTCAAGGAGGGAGAAAAGATCATTTATAAGATGGCACAAAGAAGACAAGAGGCAAGGAAGGATATTGGCATGGTAAAGTGTGTCAAAGATAAGAACCAAATTGTCCTTATACAAGAGGAGGACATCAGGTCGATGAATTGTTTAATGGAAGTAATGGAGTAGTGACAGGAGATACCTCCGTGAGTGATGAAGTAATCAACATGGAGTATGTGCAGAGGATTAGAAGAGTAGAGGTGGAGATTGCACTGAAGAAGATGAAGCCTTAGAAGGCGGTTGGCCCTGATAGAGGTGTGGAGGTGTTTGGGTAAGTTTGGTATTGATTGATAAACAGACCTCTTTAACAAGATATAGAGGGCTACGAGGATCCCGCAAGATTGGAGGATGAGCACCTTGGTCTCGGTTTATAAAAACAAAGGAGACGCTAAAACTATCGAGGGATCAAACTTATGAGCCACACTATGAAGTTGTGGGAAAGAGTGATTGAACATAGGTTGAGGGCATGCACAAGCATTTCGGATAACCAATTTGGTTTTATGCCTGGGAGATCTACTATGGAAGCAATCTATTTGATAAGACAAATGATGGAGTTTTATCGGGTAAAGAAAAAGGATCTTCATATGGTCTTTATTGATTTGGAGAAGGCATATGACAAAGTGCCAAGAGAGGTACTTTGGTGGGCAATGTTGAAGAAAGGTATCCCACGAAGGTACGTGGACCTGGTTAAGAATATGTATCGGGATGTGTTAACAAATGTAAGGACATGTGGAGAGTTGACAAAAGATTTCCCTATTACAATTGGATTGCATCAAGGGTTTACATTGAGCCCTTTTCCTTTTGCAACGGTTCTAGATGAAGTAACTAGACCAATTCAAGATGAGGTTCCATGGTGATGTTGTTTGCAGATTATGTCATTTTGGTGGATGAAACTAAAGATGGGGTTAATGTCAAGTTGGAGCAATGGAGGCAAAGGTTGGAATCTAGAGGGTTTAAGCTAAGTTGGAGTAAGACTGAATATTTGGTATGTCGCTTTGGTACTCAGAGGGGGGGACAAGTGATGAAGTGGCGAGTTTGGATGGAAAAGAATGACCATGAGTGAATGGTGACATTGTTCAAGACGTGGCCCACGGGATTAAGTCGGGGTGGCTTAAATGGAGAGCGGCCACGGGAGTGTTATGTGATCGAAGCATTCCGTTACAGTTGAAAGGAAAATTCTACAAGACTGTCATAAGACCAGTGTTGCTTTATGGTGCATAATGTTCGGCTTCTAAGAAGGAGCACATTAAAAAGATGAAGGTTACAGAAATGCGCATATTAAGGTGGATGTGCGGGAACACTCTTAAGAGATAGAATCATAAATGAGGTTATTCGCAAGAAAGTAGGTGTGGCAGGCATTGCAAACAAACTAAGCTGAAAATCGCATGCGTTGGTTTGGGCATGTAAGACAGAGACCCGAGGGTGCACCAGTTCGAAGAGTGGAAGAGTGAGTCCATGGAGGGGTTAAACGAGGGAGAGGGAAACCGAAAATGACTTGATTGGAAGGAGTTAGGAAGAATATGAAGTATATGGATTTGCATGAGGATGAAACATTGGATCGTACGGGATGGAGGAGGAAGATTTTTGTGGATGAGTACACGGAATAATCAGATGTGGTTCATATAGCCAACCCTACTTATGGGATTAAGGTTTTAATTGATTGATTTATTGATCTCCTGTATCCGCCAGCAATTAGCCTAGGGGATCCGCAAAGGTTATTTAGTTTGTTGCTTCAAACAATTTGCATCCCCGAAAGAACTATTTTCCCCCCACAAAAAAATTTCTGCTTCATACCCACTAATCAGAAATAATCTCCCGGAGCAATTATATTTCTCAATAATATCAGAGGCTACTTTCATCCCACCCAGTTACTAAAGTGATTGTACCTTTTCATAGGGTTCAAGAAAATACCCTCTCAGCAACGAGGAGGGTATGACTATATAGTGTGCAGCTGAAATCCAAAATAGGCACCAAGTGATAAATTTTGAGTTTCTGAAACCTAATTTATCCCATGCAAAGCACGACAGACAAGGGGTAATAAAACAGAGTATCATTACACTCTACAAAGAAATATAACAAAATCAAAATTACACATTACAAGGAAGAGCAAACAGGACCTACCTGATCATTTACAAACCCCTTCAACATTTTCAGAAAATCAGTATTTTTTTCCCTTTCGAGTCGTTCAAGTTCAGTCCTATTATTTTCCTGCAGATATACCAGCATTGTTTTAGTCTCAACAATTATTATGGTTAGGAAAACAGTAATACTACAAACAATTTACCCAACAAATTTGCTACAAGAGTATTAAAATGAGAGCATATATCTAACTGGGCTGAGTATTTGGAAACTTAAAAATGAGACACAAGCCGAACAATTTAAATAGATGTAATGAAATTCTCTAGACTATCACGGTGTACTCTACAAATTTCTTAAGCTGTGACATCCCAAAAACCCACAGACTGCATGTTTCACATGGATAGTGTTTTATGGTATGAATAACCTTCTCTTTAACTAAACAAGCCATTAAAAAGTAAAGCCACTGTAGATCTTACTGACAAACATAACAGATGCAGATCAGAAATCAGAACACAAAATATCATCAAACTGCAAAGGGGCCACATAGTGTTGTCTGTTGTATACAATATAATTAGTCAATAACATCTTTTAAAATAACAAACCCCCATATTTCACCAAGATTCTTAGTGATATAGATTATAGCTTCAGAAATCATCGGTCAATCCAAAAATTTCAACTGCAGAATTATAACTCTCATCAATGA